GAAAGCATTGAGTGAACCGTCTTTGGTGCACCGCTGTGCGGAGTCGTATTCGTGGGAGTAGGGAAGAGGGGGTACGCCCACGAGGTCCCAGGGGGGAATCTAAGGCACATCTTCTGTGAACTGATGAAGTTCGCATGCTTGTGTCCGATCGCCTCCAGCAAATGCATCAAAGGAGGAGGACGAGGAGGAGCATAATGGCCATTGCAGAGGGCGATTACTGATGCGTGTTCGCATCACTCGGGCCGCAGTGTCAAGCACAGACCCTCGGCGAGGGCAACCTAGGAGGCGGAGGAGGAGGAACATGATGGAACGATCTGAGAATAGTTGGGAAATGTGGCAGACCGTATCTGCGCTGATCTCGCTCGCATGCTGAGATTTTCAAGGAGGAGAAGGGGGAGGAGGAGCATGCGTTTGGGGAGAAGGGTAGTGGTGACGGAAGGTGTGTGCTAAGCTCGTTCGCATGCTGATGCACGCTGGCATTACTCAGGCCGCAACGCCAATCGAAGATCCTCCGTGAGGGCATGCAAAAACGAGGGCATGATGCTTTTTGCGCGCGGGTTCGGCGAGGGCCGCCATCCCGTAAAACGAACCTGGGTGAGGGCACCGACCCAAGAGGGGAGTTGCAGCGTGAAGATGTGAGGATGAGAGGAGGTGGTCGCATGTGGAACATGGGCTGACACTCGGCGAGGGCAATACCCACAATCATCTTTACATTGGCCCATCCTTGAGCGCTGCCAGGGTATCGTCACATTGGCCCTACCATCTTCCATTAACGTTTAGGGTATTGCACCATTGGCCCTGCTCTGTAGCGCGCCACCGCGGTTGCCAGCACGGCCACGATAGGGGTGGGACTTGAGGGACGCCATGGGGGGAGGGGACTACCTTGCCAACGCCTGCTGATCTAATGCTCTGAAAGCCGTCGCAGGCTTCTCCACTTTTGGGTTCCTCATCGCATCTCCTTCGCCGCTGAGTCTGCACCCAGGTGATGTGACTGCTTACCCGATATTAACTTACGTTTTTGTAGCGGGGAAGATACAAGTAGCGAACGACTGTTTCGTCGCTGATATTTTCCGGACCAAACACAACGGAGGATGAGAGGAGGAGGAGGAGGAGGAGGACCAGTATACACCCAGGAATCATCAACGATGTTGGAACAATCCTCCTTCCAAGCTCCCTCGTCACAGGCCCCTACAACGGCTCATGTTCATTGAGGGAACTGCCTCGTTGGAAGACAACCGTTTGAAGACCCTGAGCCGAAGCATGCCAAAACATTGTTCTCGGGATTTCAAAGCCACGGATCAACCTGACTGATGCGTCTTGACGATCCTGAATCGCACCAAAACGCCATTCTTGGGACTTCAGCGCAGCGAATCGACGTAACTGCTGCGCCCGCATAATCTTGAACCCTTCCAAAACGGAATCCCACCAGCCCTCTGGGCTTAAGTGGTTTAGGAAGTTTCCTCTTCCACCCCTCCTTTTTCCCCTTCGAGAAGGGGTTTACCCTCCTCCAGACCCCCTCCGGGGTTCCGCGAGCCGTCGGAACGTCCAAAACGGCCTCGGCGAAGAAACCACAATCATTGGTTTCACCAGGGTTTTAGCCCCATGTTGGCCTCCGGGGGGGGGGACGCTAATTGAACACCCCCCCTCCTGTGGTTGATCTCACCCAAAATGGCCCAAAAATGGCCCCCAAGGCTCCCAAGGGTGCCCCAAGGTGGCCAGGAAACCCCAAGAGGCCGCTAGGATGCCCCCAAGAGGCTGCTAAGAGACCCCCAAGACGCCCCAAGAGACCCCCCAGAGGCAACCAAGATGCTCCAAGAGGCCCCGGCGAGAATGTCAAATCATTGGTTCTACGAAAGTCTTACCCACATGTTGGCCTCTTGGGGGGGGCACTGATTAGGATGAATCCAAGAGCGCCTGGGAGAGCCCAAGCTGACTCCAAGATGGCTCAAGATATCCCAAGATGTCTCATAATGGTTTCCTCCGTGTGCGGCCCACTTCCCTGATCGAGGCCATTCCTCTGGGCATCATTTCTGCATGGTCTGGTGGGGATTCACGAAGCATCAACAACTCTGTGGTACTTCGATGATGCGAATACATGCAGCTTTTGCAACTGTTATAAACAAAGTGCGCACGGCGCTGAAGCGAGATCCAAAGTTTGAAAAAGAGCCGTCCTCAATATGTGAAGCTCTCCACTTTGAAGACAGGTCGCCCTCAACCCGTGGAGCTCTTGCAATGTTGTTTAACGAATGCGCGCCGCGCGAAGGCGAGAGCCACATGTTGAAAGCCACCCGCCTTCCATCGGCGAAACGGTTGCCAATTTCTCAGTTTCAGAATCATGAGTGGTGAGAAAGTCTCAGGCGAAACGCCCGGGCCGCCTTAAAAACTTGCCTCGAGGTGCGACAGGGAGATATTATTTATAAGGAACAGGAACGGAGGAGGAGGAGGAGGAGGAGGAGGAGGAGGAGGCGGGAGGACGAGGAGAAGGAGGATAAGGAGGAGGCGGGAGGCAGGAAAAGGAGGAAAAGGAGGATTAGGAGGAGGAGGGTAAAGAGGAGGCGGGAGGCGGAGGCAACGATGCGGAGGCAAGCAGGAGGACGAGACGAAGGCGAGGGGGGCAGGGAGGAGGAAAAAAAAGCCGAGGAAGAGGAAACGGAGGGAGCAGGAGGGATGCGAGAGGAGAGGAGGAGAGGAGGAGGAGGAGGAGGAGGAGGAGGAGGAGGAGTAGGAGGAGAGGAGGCAGAGGAGCAGGAGGAGGAGGGGGCGAGAAGGGATGAAAGGGAAGAGGAGGAGGAGGACGAGGAGGAGGAAGAGGAGGGTCTCCGCGCGGACCTCAGGTGCACCGACTGTGACGGCCAGTGGGCCTATCTAGACCTAGCGGTCGTGCACCCAGTCTCGCAAAAGAGCCTGCAGGCCGGGGAGGCTCACGTCCAAGGCACCACCGCCAGACTTGCCGAACATGCCAAGCGCCGCAAATACGATGGCGTCGCGGGATTCCAGCCTATCGGGTTTGAGGTCTCGGGAGGCATGGGCGAGTCCACGCGAAAGTGGCTCGCGCAGCAACTGCCAAAGAGCCTGGGCGCCAGGAAACACTCAACACACTCCACCGGTCCATCGCGACATGCGTGGTCCGCGAAGTGGCGCGCACGCTCATCGACGCTGCCTGATGTGGCCGCTGGGCCAGCCAGCGCGCCTAACGCAGGGGTCTGGTGGCTCACATCCCTGGGCCTGGAAAAGGCGACCTCCTCGACGACTGCAACGTGGGGCGCAACTCACCACGCACGACGACCGAAACCACTACCACCACCAGCACGACGCCTCGGCCACAACACCTGCGACTACGCGCTACGACCACAACAGCTCGTCTCTCTCTTCTCCCCCCTCCTCCCCCCCACCACCCCCCCCCCCTGCGTGGGCGTCGGCGCGGCCGCGGGCGCGGCGCCGCGCCGGGTGCGGCGGGCGCTGGCGCGGCTGCGCCCGCCGCGCGGCGCGCAAAGGCGGCGGGCCTCCCATCGGACTCTGGAAGGTCCCGCCGCCGCGCAGAATAGGAGGAGGAGGACCAGTGTAATCCAAAGAGTCATCAACGATGTTGGAACAAAACCCTCCCTTCAAGCTCCCGCGTCATCGGCCCCTACGTCGGTTCATGTTAACTGAAGGAATTGCCACTTTGGAAGACGACCGTTTGAAGACCCTGAAGCATGCCATAACATTGTTCTCTGGAGTCCAACGCCACGGATCAACCTGACTGTTGCGTCTGGACAATCCTGAATCGTGCCAGAGCACCATTCCTGGGACTTCAACACAGCGGATCCACATAACTGTTGCACCCGCATAAACCTTTCAAAACACTAGTTCTGGCATGTTGATGATGGGAATCCGTGGAACCCTTGCAAATACTTAAAACGAATGTGCGCCGCTCTGAGGCGATAACCACACTTTGAAAAAGGAACCGCCCTGAATATATAAGATTCTGACAAATGTTTAAAACGAATTTGCGCCGCGCGAAGGCGAGAGCCACATGTTGAAAACGGCCCGCCCTCAATCCGTAAAACTACTGAAATGTTTGAAACGAATGTGCGCTGCGCGAAGGCGAGAGCCACATTTTGAAAACCACCCACCCTCAATCCGTGAAGCTCTTGCAAATTATTATAACGAATGTGCGCGGCGGAGAGGAGGAGGAAGGGGAGGATGACGAGAAGAAAGGGAAGACGAAGATACATCAAAAAAAACAGGAAACGGGTGAGGAGGAGGAGGAGGAGGAGGAAGACGGGGAGAAGGAGAAGGAGGACGAGGGGGAGGGAGGAGGACGAGGGGGACGAGGGGGAGGGAGGAGGAGGAGGAGGAGGAGGAGGAGGAGGAGGGGGAGGATAAAAGGGAGGAGGAGGAGGAGGATGAGGAAGAGGAGGAGGAGGAGGAGGAAGAAGAAAACGGTACCGCCCTGAAACGACCGGTGGCGTGGGCCGAAGGCCGACGCGGGGCAGCGAACGGTACGATGGGGGCCAGGAAGGCCAACAGGGGGGCTGCGTGCGCCAGCAGTCCCCCAGCATCGCTGCGGACAGGAACTGGCTACCACGGGCAGAGCAGAGGCCCAGGGAGTGGGCAGGTAATGCAGCCAGAACAGAAACACCGACAGATAACATAACCTAAGTGGGTGCACCACGTGCGTCCAGGAGCAAACTGTAGCAAGCGCTCGCCTACACCCGAGATCCAAACTTGAATTCGCTCGGGGATCGAACTACAATCCTACGAGGATCAATGATGACCCACTCCTGCTTCTCCTCCTCTTCCTCCCCTTCCTCCCCATCCTCCTCCCCCCCCTCTTCCCTCGCCCGCCCTGTGTTTAGGGGGCCTCCAGCGCCAGAGGCTGGAGACTCATCGGGCCCGCCGGCCAGCTCGGCGTGACCTGCGCCCCCAGAAAATCCCTCCCTCCATCCTGCCCCCATTGCCTGGGCCCGCGGGTAGCGCGATCGGGGTGCGGGAGGCCCGCGGAGGGGGGCGCCGTCCTGCTCCCGTAGAACCCGAGCGGCCCGTGCCCCCTGGTGCACCTGGGGGCCGCCGGCGGTGGACGGCTCTTCCCTTCGAATCGGCGCGCCCTCTTCGCTCGGTGCCTCGCCAACCCCATCTTGTAACTCATCATCCTCCCCCCTCCACCGCTTGTCCCTCCTCCACCGCTTGTTCCACCGTTGAGCGGACATCCAATGCTATGATTGCTGCGTTCTGACAGCGCGAGGCCTCAAGTTACAACATAAACACCGACGTAGGCCTGGGGAGCAAATCAAGGCAACCGCCACTGCGGATGTGGAAATACGGCAAGATGCGGGAAACGAATGCGGCCCAGGAGGGCGTAGAGCAACTGTGCGAACTGTCGTTGGGCAGAGAGAGAGAGAGAGGGAGAAGTAGAGAGAGAGAGAAGTGTGATATGGAAGATAGGCGATGGATCTTCTTACTCGCGCGGCGAGGGGCGTAGCTCTGAGGCCAAGGGCCCGAATTCGAAATCACACGGCGGCGGAAACAGCAGGGCCCTCGAGGCTTCTGGGGGAAACCCTCTCGGCCCTCTTACACTCCTGGGGAGTGAGCTTGATTCGCATTCCTCCTAGTCGCCGTCCCGGGCGCGGGGCCGAGCCTGAGCAGGGACTATAACAAGTCACCCGCCGGAAGCTTCATTGAAAACAGGGAGATGACAATCGAGATAATCTATAGCAGCCAAACGGCTTGCACGGCATACGAGGTATACTCAGCTCTCAGCGCCGCTGGCGCTTGATCAAACACAAAGCTAGCGATGGTAAGAGTTCGATCGCGAAACGACAAACCCCAAAAACATAACCATCTTATCGAGATAAGATATTAATGCTGAATGGGTGCGTTCGTCATCACATCTATAACAAAAGCTGTGTGCACTGAGTGGATGAAGCTTCTCCAAAAAAATAAGTGTGGATCTTTAGCCAGATGTAGATCTGAGCGGCAACGCGGACCAACGTATGAATAGCCGGGTATGAGATCTGAGCGGAAATGCTGACTAACGTATGAATAGCCGAATACGAAATCTGAGCAGCAGAATATTGCCAGTCCGGTCGGCCAATCTGCCGCCCGAATACCAGGCGGGGTTCACTTGTCCTTCTTTGGCTTCGCCGCTTGTCCGTCAGGTCGGACCCTCGCCAAACGTCTCTGCCTGCGAGCTTCCACTGGCAACCCATGAGATCGTTCATCACACTCTCCGGGAAAATCATGAAATCGGGGTTGCCGACATGATAATGCCGAACCAGCCACGACGCGTGCTTCTTTGAGGTCTTGCACGTGATGCAGACACTGTGCGGGTTGTGGCCGATGACGACATCATGATGGGGAATGCCGATGACACAACTGAGCATGTCATTCGGCTGCATCGTCGGTGAGGATCCGCTCCACGATACAACACTGGCTGATATGGCTGACACGGAACTCGATGAACTCGTCACGGTAACAACGCTTGGTGATGCGGGGGCCAAACTTCCCTGCGATGTTGCTGATCTTGGTCGTCCAGATCCCCGTGCTGATGTTGTGGACTATGGTGATGGCGGCGCGCTGGCAGGTGGCTGTTCTGTCGGTGCCAGTGGCGGCGGCGGCTGTTGAATTGCAGCCGATGCTACTGAACTCGATGCCTGTGCGCTGCTGAAAACGTCCGCGCGGGACATCGCAATGTCACCATCGTGACCACGGTCCTCTGGAATGGTAGGTGGCATGTTGCGGCGCCGGCCGAGCACGCGGCCGCCCCGGCCAGGGTGCTCGCCCATGGCCTTCGCCTCGGCGGCGCCCTCCTCAGTGGCGATCGCGTTGTCCTGCCGCATGATCGCCCAGAGCTTCATGGAGATGCCGAAACCGATAGCCATGCCGAGGACCAGCGTGAACGTCAGCAGGCAGATGTAGAAGCAGTAGTTCGGCATAGTCGGCGCAGGCGTAGGCAGGTGATCAGGACTGAGGCGAGCACGGCAGCGCGTGGCAACTGGGGCCCACACGTGTGTTTGCGGGCTCCGAAGAACGACAGCAGGACACACGCCTCCATCGTCTTCGTCAAGGCGTCCGCGACCATGGCCCCGGGCGGGATCCAGCTGAGCTGGAGCGCACTGTTGGGGTGCACGGACTCCTTGATCATGGAGGCGACGATGCGGAACCGCTCGTCGGTAGATTGGCCCACATCTGAAGCGATGTGCGTAACGAGACCCTTGCTGTCGCTGTAGATCCACCCCAAGGCGCTCGTCGGCGAGCACGTCGATATGCTTGAGCGCCGCCTTGGGGTTGCAGGCCTCGGTCAGCAGCTGTCGGAACCAGACGTTGGTCTCCGATCCCTCGAGGGTAGCGTAGCCCTCGGCAGCGAGGGTCGACTTCACCGACCTCTTGACTGTGCCAGAGTGCCAGGCGACGAGCAAGCAGAGGTCGCAACGGCCGCCGACGACGTCGCGCGGGCGATGGGTGAGCCCCATCACCATGCCCCACTGGCTCTTGACGCCGTCCACGTTGGCGAACGCGGCGCCGCTGAAGCACGCGGTGATGGGCGTCTTCAGGTCGACGAGCTTGCGCTTGAGCACGATCGCGAAGTTCGCGGTGGAGTGCACATAGGCGACGGCATTGTTGAGCGCCTTCGCGTCGGCCACAGTAGCGACGCTGGCGCGTCGAGCTGCGAAGCTCAGCAGGCAGGCGATGCCCACCCGGGTCTGCACTGGTAGCCACAACGGCTGCCCGAGCGTGCGGCTGTAGCTCGTCACCTCGGCGGCGGTGAGCCCGTCCTCAGCACCTCGGCCCTTCTGGGCCTTCAAGTCGACGTAGTCCACCTGCGCGGCAGCGGTGGCCTGGGTCACGCGGAACTCGTCGTCGAGCTTGGTAATCGTACGTCCGCAGTGCTTGCTAGACCTTTCGACTGGCTTGAGGTGCAGCTTCCCCCCCAGCGATGCGATAGAGGTCTTCCACTTGGTAGAGTCGTTGCGCTGGGCGACAAGATAGTCGCCCACATGTGAGCGGATCGCCGCGGCGAGCCCACCTTCGTCGTAGGAGTAGCAGAGGCCTTTCTCGAGCTTGCTCTCCACGAGGCCGTGCTCGGCGAAGATATTCTGCGCGTAGGGGCACTGCTGACTCCCGGCGTCGCGCGTTCCGTAGATCGCGCCTGTGGCCATCGCGATCTCGCCGGGCTGAGTCCCCGGCGGCGGGTTCTTGGCCGGCATGCGCAGGAGCAATAGCCTCTCAATGTTACCCGACTGCAGGTAGGCCGTCATCGAGTCGCAGGACGAGATGCCCCAGTCCTTCTGGGCCGCGGCGGCCAGGGTCAGGCACAGCGCGCCCCTAGACCCCGCAGGCGCGTCCGTCCTGATCTGCGACTTGTCCTCCTGGCAACCCTGCGCGACCAGGCGTGCCTCCATGATGTTCTGGCCCTTGCTGGCCAGAACCCAGCGTGCGCCAACAGGGCGCATGCCAGGGTTGCGCCGCAGGAGTTCCATCAGCTCCTTGGGCGGGAGCTTCTTGCAGGCGCCGAACTCCGTCCACTCGGACCACTCGGCGGTCGCGCTGCGAGCGTTGCCTCACGGAGTCGCGTGCTAGAGCTCGCCCTTGTGCTTCTGGAAATAGTTGTCTAAGTAGAGGTCGACCTTGTTCGCGTCAATCGGCCTCTTGAAACACCTGGGCAGATCGTCCAATATCCTTGCGCTTGGCAGCGCGCTCGCTCGGGTCGAGCTCGTGCTGGCGGTCGCGTTGATGCGCCACTGGTGTGTTCTCCTGTTGAACTTAGCGCTGCGTCTCGGTGCCGCGCTGGTTCTCGGTGTCCGGCCGGCGCCGCGACATCGTCTCCTGGCGCGCCTGCTCTTCCGCAATCTTGGCCCATTCTCGAATCATGTCCGAACCGTCGGACTCGACGCAGTCGTCGACCGGGCCCTGAGGGGCAGGTTCAGGAGGTCGAATATCTGCGGCAGCAGCGGCGGGGGTGGCTGCAGGAGCGGCAGCATCTCCTGAGTCTGAGTCTGGCGCCGGCGGGTCGGCGGCCGCCGGTGGCGGCGGCGGCCCCGCTGGCGGCGGCGGCTGCGGGGGCTGCTATACGTCCCCCCCCGAAGGCGGTGGGGCCGGTCCTCCACTGCCGCTTGCTCCTCCACTGGTTGTGAAATCGCCGCCCCCTTGGCGGCGTGCCAGCCACTCGGCGTACTTATGAGCACGCCGGTTCGCTTCGGAATGCTCGATGTTGCCGAAGTTGTGTTGATGGATGGCCGGCTGCTGACGGGGTGCTGGTAGCGCTGGTGGCGCGGGGAGCTGACTGTCACTGCGGGGGCGCTTCTTCGGCGTCGGTTCCGTCAAGGAGCGCGTCGTCGTCAGCGTCTGGCGGCGTCGGTCCAGCAGGGCCTCCTCCTTCATCAGGACCGGGCGGCGGGGTTCCGCCGCCTGCGCCGCCGCCGCGTTCTCCGAGGCCTGGGGGAGGCTCGGGCCAAGAGGTCCCTGGCGGGGCGCCTGGCGGAGGTCCAGGCGGCCTGTTGCTGTTCAGCGCGTTCAGCACTTGCCCCCGCGGAACAGGTTCCGCGGTCGCGGCGCCACGTAGGCGCCCACGGCTGACCTTCACGGTCGTGGATCGGCGGCTGACCCACGCGTTCGATGCGCCCTCGAAACTGACGATGACGGCTGGCCCGTGCCACTGCAAGGCCCATTCTCTCTCGGGCTTGCCGTTGCCCCTCCGGTAGTGCACCTGGTCGCCCTGCTGGTAGACGTCGCCGGCGTGCTGAGCTCCATCTGCCCGAGATCGGGCCAGCAGCGCCCTTGAGAGGGACTGGTTGAATCTCAGGTACTGCATGGAGTTCTGCGCGGCCTTCACGATGGCGATCCTCTCCGAGAACGGTTTGTCGGACACGATGCGCTCGCGCAGGGACAGCCTGCAGGCGTTGCCCAGCAAGACAAACGGGGTGCGAAGGCCTCGCCCGAGCACCCACTGCGACGGCGAGTGGCCCGCGGAGTTGACCTGGCTGTTCATGGCCGAGCACGCGGAGGCGATCATCCACTAGATTTGGTTAGCGGCCGCGGGCTGGCCGAACCTGATGCTGAACTGGTCGGTCAGCTTCCTCGCGTGCACCTTCCACGCCCCTCCACGTCGCTCCACGGTAGCATTCTGCTGCGGCGTCGCCGCAGATGTCGTCATCAGGCGGCAAGAAATGTCCTCGAGCTCCTTGGAGAACTCTCGCTCGAACTCGCCTCCTCCATCAAATATGACTCGCTGAGGCGCGCCAACAGGCGTGATCCAAATCTGCAACAGTCAAGCGAAAACAACCGATGGGCGCCTCGATGCGACAGCGCCGCACGTCGTAAAACCTGAGGCCAGGCCGACCACGCTGAGGTAGACCAGCCGGTTGCCAGCGTAGTCGGCCAGGGTGAACAGGTCCACTCCGATGGAGGCATTGAAGTCCCTGTCCAGTCTAATCCGCCCTGGTAGGTGGTAGGTGTGGTAGTTGTCGCTGATGTGCTGCGCAAGCCTCGCAGTAGTGGTTTAGAGCCACATCGATTGACCTCTGCGATCCACCAGTCGCACGAATGACTCGGGCAAGTGAATCGTTGGACGGGTGCCCCATGTCCACGTGGAGATGCACGATGGCGGACTGTAGTGTCCGCTCCTCCGCGGCCGTGAGCGCTGGCTCCTGAGCGGCTGCGGCGGCTGGAGCCGCCCTTATCATTGCCCTTCTCGTCGTCGATGTAGGGTGAGCTTCTCGTGCAGGTCGGCGGTTCGGACGTCGCAGCTGCTCGGCGAGCGCCGTCGCGAGCTTGGTCGCATAGTTCTCGCTGCGCTTCGCGCCCTTCCCGCGGGCCTCTGCGCGCGGGCGCCCCCTGCTGCGGAAGCACCTGAGCGAGTCGTCGAACCCGAAATGGTCGGTGATAATCCGCCGCGGCTTCTTGACGTGGGCCTAGTTCTGTATCTCGAGGTTGAACGCGCAGCCGTCGAAGTCCACGGCGCGCGGGAGCTGTTCCTTCAGCTGCTTGGCAATGGCTTTCTTGTTGCGGCCCCACCCGTCGCAGCACCTCGGCCACTCGAACGAGACGGCGAACTGGGCGCCGAACACCTTGCGCAGCCGTGATATTGACTGCAGGAACAGGCCGATCATCTGCTTGGACTTGGCCCGATCCCTTTAAACTTTGACATCTTTTTGCGGATCGATCTCGACGACGAGTCGTTGTAGCGATGTCCGCGGCTGGCAACGAAACGCATCGTGAACTCGCACACTCATGCCTGCGGCAAGGTGCTCCCGGATCCTGCCCTCCAGCTCCTGGTCCACGAACTGCTTGGAGAGGTCGAAGCCTGGAAGACCACACCTGACAGCAACTCCTCCTTCTTCTTCCAGACGGCGCTGAGCTTGCTGTCCGGTTTGCAGCGCCACGCGTAGAGCACGGTGCTGTTCGCTATGGAGGTCGGGGCTGGATCTGGTTGTAGACTTGGCCATGGTAGTAATGAGGGCCTGGCCGATCTTGCGCGGCTGGATGCCGCTCTTAATGGTGACGAGGACTGAGCGCTTGCCGGCGATCATCTGCGGCTTCGTCCCCTTCTTGAGCGTCCTCACGCGTAGCTGCTCCTCCTCCTCTTCCACGATGTTGGCTTCGGGTCCGAAGCAGCCTTTGGCGGTGGCGTCCGGGCCGTGGCTCAGGCTTACGGGCGTGCCGAAAACGCAGTCCGAGCATAAACCCTGGCGACTGCAGGCCTCGAAGGTCGTCTCGCCACAGGCGATGCAGTCCTGCAGGGGCTCGGTCACGCACGTCGTAGGGTAGGTCGTCTGCGGCAGCGTCACTAGCGCGAGGTTCGGAGCTGGAATTGCGGTGGAGCAGCTGACCAGGGCTGAGGCTACGGCCGAAAGCAGCCGGGACCCCTTCGGTCGCCGGGTCTGGAGACGTCTCGGAACGTTCAGCTCCTTCTTCGTGACGAGGTTGTTGATGGTGTCGATCAGCGCGCTGGTCCTGGTCGCATTGTTGACCGTGGGCTGGTCGCCCGTCCTCGTCTTCCGATCCCGTCGGCCGGGCGTCTTCTCGACCTCTACGCATGGGGTCTTGTCCAGCTGTCGCTTCCTTCCGGACGAGCTGGCCGCGCTGGGCGGTTGCTCCGTGCCGGCGTCCTTGATGGCCTGCCAGTCCTCTGGCTGCAACTTGATTGCGGGGTGGTCCGCGGCGCTCGCGGTGAGCTTCTGGGTGGCGTTCCCGATGCGGATCTGGCCCTTCCAGAGAGAGAGAGAGAGAGAGATGTCGATCTTGGAAGGCTGGATGAAGTCGCGGCCGATGAGCAGGCCCAGCGCGGGGCTGTCCACGACGCTGAACACGATGCAGCCAGCCTGGCCGCACAGGACAAGTGGCGCGGTGACGCGCAACTTGCTTGGGAAGGAGACTACCTCCGTTGCCGAACCTGTAGACCTCGTCCTCCGGCTCCTCGACGATCTGGCTGGCAAGCCCCATCCTCGCGAGGATGTCCTTGTAGTTGTCGCGTCACTTCTTGCCCGAGACGCAGAAAAGGCAGGCGGCGTCGACGACGCCGACGCCTTCGTCCACGGGCGCGCCACTGCCGATCGCGACGCTCACGTTCGGCAGGTGGTGGATGAGCCGCTCCGAGACGCAAGTCTCTGGGGGCGGCGTGACTGCCCCCTGCGGGTGCAGGGCGATCTCCTCGTCCGCGAACTGGACCTGCTCGGTAATGTGCGCCTGGCGCTGAGGACGGCCTCCGCGACCTCCTCGCCCACCGCCATTTGACTTGCCGTCCTTGGGCGCGAACTTGCGAGCACCTGGCGCGGGTCGCTGCTCGCCCCCTGCCCAGCGCCCGGTCTCGCCGCAGCCCCAGCAAGAAGTGCCCCTCTTGCGCTGGTCGACCCGGCTTTGCAGCCTGGTCGGGCGGCGAGACGGCGCGCACTTCGCCTTGCCGCGGCCCTTGAGGGCCTCCTGGGCCGATCTGATGGTGGCCATGGCTTCGGAAATAGCGGCGAGTTCCGCTGCGGCAGCTTCGACCTTGGCAGAGGTCGTCGCCGTCGAACAGATCGGAGACGCCCACGCTGGAGGACTCGAGCTCGGCGCTGAAAGCCTCGAGCTCCTGGCGAACGATGTCCTGGGCGTCGGCCTCGCCCCCGTCGCCCTCCTCTTGTTTTTCGTCGTTCTCGTCGTCCGGCTCGTCGACGACGTTGGCAGAGCGCCCCCCGCGGCTGGAGAGAACGTTGCTGCGCCAGCCGCCTTGCGAGCGCGACTGGTTGGCCCATGATCTCGGCGGGGGGGCGCGGCGCCCCGACGCATGGGCGTCCGGGAACGCCCTGGCCAGCAGCCCGCGGATGCGCTGGTAGCCGCAGTGCTCGTCGGGCAGGTTGCCCACGACACGCTCGCGGCGCTCTGCCGTGAGCCCGGCCTTGCGCAGCAGGAACCATCCCGCCACGTCGCCCAGCGCGCTGAGGTCCACCTCATTCTCGCGTTGCTGCTGCAGTCCCGTCTCGAAACGGGTGGGCCAGTCCGCCATGCGCCCGCCTCGTCGTCGGTGATATTGAGTCGACCCGAAGAACGTCTCAAGGGTCTCGCCCTTCTGCGCGGGCTTCTGCCGGCCCAAACTCGCCCCCAGATGCTGCGCAGCACATTCTCGATGCCGACCTGTTTCCTATTGCGTTTCCTGCCATCGGGGTCTTCGACGTCCGCCGCGGCTGCTGGATGCAGCTGCGCCTCCGTCATATTTAGCGCTGCACCTCGGGCTGCCCCGCCGAGCTTCAGCACGAGCTTCGATGCGAGACTGCGCGCCGCGGCGAGGCTCTCGCTGAGCTTCCAGAGCTTAACCTCCTGCTTGTAATCTCTCCACTTTGACGGATCGCCATTCCAAGAAGGGATGACGCTGCACGCATAATTGCCTGTCATTTTGTCAAGAATGAAAGAGTGAGCCGCGTCGCTGACACTGGCGTCGGAAGAGAAGTAGGCGTCGATGCTGGCGTCGCTGGCGCTGGCGTTGGAGAGGTAGGCGAAGTAGTCGTTGATGCTGGCGTCGCTGACGCTGGCGTTGGAGAGGTAGGCGTTGCTGCTGGCGTCGCTGACGCTAGCGTTGAGGAAGTAGGCATCGACGCTTGCGTCGATGACGCCGGCGTAGGAGAAGCAGGCGTTGATGTCGGCGTCGCTAACGCTGACGTAGGAGAAGTCGGCGAAATAGTCGTTGATGACGGCGTCGCTGACGCTGTCGTGAGAGAAGTAGGCGTTGATGTCGGCGTCGCTGACGCTGACGTAGGAGAAGTAGGCGAAATAGTCGTTGATGACGGCGTCGCTGACGCTGTCGTGAGAGAAATAGGCGTTGATGTCGGCGCCGGCGACGCTGACGTAGGGGACGTAGGCGTTGGAGGCGTAGGTGCTGGCGTCGCTGACGCTGGCGTAGGAGTTGGCAGGGTAGGCGTTGGTGCTGGCGTCGCTGACGCTGGCGTCGGCGCTGAGCAACGCCGCGAGGAAGCCGCTGGGCTTCGATTCCGCGGCTCGCGACGGCTTCGTCGTGGCTGGATATGAAATGGCGCGCGGCGCCAGGATGTGAAATGGCGAGCGGCGCCAGGCAGCTGAGACTCGCTCCGCTACCACTGCGACGCGGAAGATAGGCGATGGATCTTCTTTCTCGCGCAGCGGGGGGCGTAGCTCTGAGTCCAAGGGCCATCGTTCGGAATGAAACGGCGGCGGTGAGAGCAAGAAATGAAACCGCAGGGCCCTCGAGGCTTCTGGGGGTTACCCTCTCGGGCCTCTTGCATTCCTGGGGGGTGAGCGTGATACACAAGACCAACAAACCGTAAGGCCCCCCCCTTCTCCGCCCCGCGGCTCGTGGCTGCGGGCCCCTGGCCCCCCCCCATGGGGCTGCGGCCCTCGCCCGCGGCTCTTTCGCGCCCCAGCAATGCGACATCGCTGGGCGGGGGCGGGGCGCTTAAAACAGGGCGGCGCCACTGCCAAAAGGTGGGGCCACGCCAGGGAGGAGGCGAATGTAGGAAAACAAGAACCACGCTTTCCAACAATAATTAATAACCTAGATCGCCGCTGCCTAAGTCGCCGCTCGCGCGTCCACGGGGGCGGGGACGACGCGGGAGGGCGCAACAACAGGGGGAAAAAGGAACTAATAAACCCAGGAGTGCAGGGGGGGAGAAGCAGAGCAGCAAGCACGACAAGGAGGAACAGGCGAGAGGGCGAAGTCCCCGTTCACAAATGACCCCCACACCCTCTCATTCGCCCCGAACCCCCCCCCGCCCCGCACCGCAGGGCGGCAGCAGGCGTGCGACGCGGGGAATCGGCAAGAACAGACCGCCCCAGCGGATCTCGAGACCCACCCGCATATGTTCTTGGGGCCAACAATGCTCTGAGGGGACAAAAGGAATGTTCTTGAAACCTGTTGCGTCAAAAGCACTAGCTGGCCTGAGAGTCTGATTGACAATCGACGCGCTCTCCGGACATGCGAGCGCGCCGCGCGAAGCGCGCCGAAACGATACCACGTCGACAGCGGCGCGCCCCACTCACGCACATCGCATTGCCCGCATTTCCAGAAGCGCGCACTGCGCCCGAAAATGCGCCCACCCCGCTGCTCGCATCATGCGCCAACGAAGACAAAGCCTGAAAGTAAAGATATGTTGGCGTTCTGGTGATCGTGCCGCTTGCATCTGTGGGCAGATCTTTTGTTACGTAACAGGGCTGCTTTTTCATGGCAGTGCCGCGCGCGAAAACTACGCGAGGGAAGGCTCGCAACAATGACAGGGCCGAGCTGGCAACCAGGGTTTTGCAACGCGGCCCCGAGTGAATCTCCCCACCGCGCACTCATCGCCTTCAACTCCTCGACCAGATCGCAATCTGATGGCCGAGCAAGCTGGCGACGCCACGTTTTCTCTAGAAATTGGCGGCATTATCAGCCACCCTACTTCGAAAGCAAACGCATGCGAAGGCGCGAGCCACAAGTGGGCAAGCGGCATGCACGCGCCTGGCGCAACAAGACGTTTCCTCTTCCTCGTAAGGCTCCAAGCCGCGCGCCCCGTAACGCGCGCCCTCAAAGCCTCCCTTATGGCGGCCTTGAACTCGCGCGACTCGAGTGAAAAGTCGAAGTTCTCATGCGCCTTCGCCCTGTTTCCTCGCTGCCCCCTCCCGCGCGCAGAGCGGCGGGCCCTTTGCCGCCGCCCTCCTCCTCATCATTCATTCTCCCCCTCCTGCCCGCTTCCTGCCCCCTCTTTCCCGTGCTGCTTGGGCGGGGAAAGGCGGCGAACACGGGGGGCGCCCCTCTCCCCTGCCCTGAACGAGCCGCGCATGCCCCCCCCACCCTGGGCGAGCCGCCCACTACCTGTTTGTTTGTGCCCCCTCGTCAAAACCGCGCATTGCGGGCCCCGTGAGAGGGGCGCCTGCAAACCAGGAATATGTTTGACGCTTGGGTGCCCCAATCACCCCTTGCACGATCAATCTCAGAAGTCGAATTGCCCTGGCAAGCGCGGCGCAAGCACGCGCTCCGCGAGTGGACCAAGCACGTCATCGCGAGCGCGCCGAGCGAGGCCGGGAGAAGGAAGAGGAACGATGAGGAATTCGCAAAGGAGGTGGAGAAAAATACCAAGATCAAGATCAAGCGCCGATGGGGGCGGAATGATCCAAGGGTCTCACCTCCTGGGCCAACCCTACACAATCGTTAAGACACCCTTCTCCTCCTGACAGCGTTGTCAAAACTCGCTCCTGCGCTGCGTCTAATGAGCTTCGCTCCGCCAGAGTTGAGACCCTGGCAGCAAGGACTGCACGGGCTCGATAGGCAGCACGCCTACAAAAGGCACGCAGCCCGAGGCAGCTGACCGAAGAGCGCTACCTTCCTCGCCCTTTGCGGCCCCGACCCTTCGATCGAGGTTCGCTTCGAAGTTCGCTTCGGTGCTCGACAGGATGCCCACCGCTAGCATCTCTGGCAACTATATCTCTGCCC